CAGCATAGTGCCTCTCGGACAGGGGATCAGAGGGAGATCGGTACACAAACTCACTCCTGTCCCCTCTCCGCTGTCAGAATGCGGAAGTGATATATATTACATCACTTCCACATTCTTGTGTCACTCTCCAGCTTCAGAAGCTGGAAAGAAGCGGATGAAGCAGATCTCTGCTTCATCAACTTCTTCAGAGGGGTCCTAGGTGACATTAGGGGTCTTGGAGACCCCTGATGTCTCCATAAAGAGGACCTGTCACATCTTTTGCTATCACATAGAGGGGTTTCTTACCCCCTATGTGATAGCAATAAAGTTAAGTGGAAAAAAAAAATAGGAAAAAAAAATTAAAGTTCCCTTACCCAAAAAATTAAAAGTTACACATAAAAAAGAATTTTAAAAAACACAAATAACACTAAATTGATGAGCGGTAAAAGCTTTTAAAGCGTCGCAAAATTCCAATTTTGAGTATAGTATGTTATTGCAATTTCACAGGCTCACGCAATTTTAATGCTTGACATGTTTGGTGTCTATTTACCCTACGTGACCCCGTCTTTTATATTTTACCAAAAAAATGGGTAAGAATAAATGTTTTGTAACATAACTTAGGGAAAACAGTTTTTTTAAAAATTTTCGGTCCTTTTTTCATTATATAGTAAAAAATAAAAACCGCAGTGATGATTAAATACCACCAAAAGAAAGCTCTATCTGTCTCCAAAAAATTGTATCAAATTCATTTCAGTACAGTGTTGCATGATGGAATAGATGTCAGTCAAAGTACTGCAGCACTGAATACTGAAAAATGGCCTGGCCATGAAGGGGGGTGTAAACACCTGGTCTTTAAGTGGTTAAATAGTGCTCATTTGCAGCCAAAACCAGTGCCGTTCGCAGTGATATGCAACATGTGCGGCGTGCACGCATTTATGTGGGGCTGGGACTTAAAAAAAACTTTGTGTTTTTTAAAATTCTTTTTTATGTGTGCACTTAACTTTATTGTGTACTGATCTCCCTCTGATCTCCTGTCAGAAAGCTGCAGTGCTGGTCCCGGCATGCCCGGACACAGCAGAGCTCGGGATCAGCGCTGCGTAGGGGGGGCACATAATCGGCACCTCATACAAGCGATCCGTCGAATCTGTAGCTGGCAGATCATTTGTATGTAAACAGACATCACTGCCTGTTTTTTAATTATGAAAGTTTCCAGCTCGCACGCCGTGCGGTGCACACGAGTGGGCGGGGCTAACATTCCATCTAAAGACGGCCTGTTACATCCAGGAAGCTTCCAGCCAGCCATTGAGGTGGTTAAAAAACATGTTAATTGTTGCAATTGCTTCTTCTTATTGTGAGATTTCCCTTCCAATGGTAGCACATTAAGGACGGAGTCCACTCGCTTATCACTTCTTTTAAGGGCTTCCTTGCCCACTTTTATTAAATGAACATTGACAAAACGATGTGATTACCCTCACAGGGGTTCTTTATACTAGAAATACAGGCACGTCCAACCTTCTGGCTTTCATTCACAGCACTGTCTGTTCCTCCAGACGGTCTTGTGCTAACCTGCACAATAGGTCTCACAACCCCGCAGCTCCCTGCTGCACTGGCCACCACACTTCTCCTGACTCACAGGTGGGGCCCTGAACACATCCCAGCACACTCTTCATGAGGGATGTACACAGGTACACAATCACTGTTAAGGCATGGACCCATGCAATGGAGATTTCATCCCACCCAGAGCTCTAAGAAATCTCCTGGCTCCAGGATTCCAACTATGATCCCCAAAAACCTGGAAAGAACTGAAAAGGCAGTTCTTTCCTGGTACCTGTAATGTCTTCCTGGAGCCACTCAGCCCCTCTGGCTGAGAACCCTGGGTGACTTTGAGGCCACCTAACACCGTGGTATTGCCTGACAATGCCACATAATACATATATTTTGCTTTTATAAGGAACCTTATCACATACTAACCCACACTTATTCAAGCATGTAATTTACCCACACTTTTGCAAGAAAATATCAATATCCAAACTGCATCCAGACATCGCTAAATAAAAGCAAACAAAGCGTATGACTTACCACTGTTCATACATATGTAACACAAATGTCAAATGCTGGTTTTATTATTTGTGCAATTAATTTTGCAAAAGGAATTGTTTTAGAAAAGGAGTGTAATTTTTACTTCCACAAGCTTCTGGGGGATATTTACTTGCAATGTTTAGCAAGAGCATTACTTTAAAAGAAGATAGCATATATACAGGAATAGTATATGCGTCTATGCTTGTGGAGGCTTCCGGTGATCTACACTGTGAGCTTATTGGGAGAACTGGGAGATCATTATGAGGCTACTAGCACAGGAATAATGTATAGAGGCTCTTACAATAAATAAAACAGCTCACTAGGAAAAGAGGCATGGGCTCTATACAGCACCATTGACTCAGAAGCAGCTGCACACCAAGATCTAGGCAATGATCCCAATGGCAATATCCACTTAAACTGGAGTCGTGTATTTAATTTCTTTGTTTCAGATTCAAGGACTGACTGTCTAAAGGATGTTACATTATCCACCATACAACTGAACCTATATTACCTTTGAAGATACAGCTGAGTTGAAGAAACTTTTAAAATATATACACATCCTCCTTATATTATCACACATTTGAAGCAAGGTTGTACATTGTGTAAATACATACATTGCTTGTTAAATCACAGTGTTTATATTATGATTTCCTTTCAGCAGTTTTTTTCAGCATGCATTTTCCTTCCCTGCACAAAATACAGTTTACACATGTAAAATATAAGTTTGATGGATGGCTTTGACAGACATATATAACTGAGTATTTCTTTCATGCAAATATGTGACAATAATTATAACTTCTGAAGCAAATCATATTTTTAACCAACAACTGTGAGACATGTGGCCTTAATTTGTTATTTACTTTAAGGAAGGGGAAACAAGCAAATGACAAAGCAATTTATTTTTAAGGGTAGGAAAATAATCCATTAGATCACGCTGAGTTTAATGTTAACCCACATACAGCTGTGGAGGTAATTGCTTGTCACCACTTTATAGTGACACATTATCATGATTTGAATGTATTCAAATTTCTACTGTATGATAAGTAACCTTGAAAGGCAAAACACATAGAGTGAATAACACTGGGTTTTTGTAAGTATTTTAAGTGAAAATGACTGGTAAACTTAGTAAAGCAAAAATTAAATAACAATTTGATGTCATAATTTCCTATATTAATTTATAAAGCTCAAAAAAGAAAGCTGATAAGAATGTGAGTTCACGTATAAGTCCTGTTATGGGAACTCTTTCTAGAACTCGTGCATGTCCAGACAAGCATTTAAAAAATATTGAGGAGATATACACAGCACTCTATGAGCTGCTAGAAACCAACCTTTCAATATGAAGGTCATGCATATCAGTCAAACCATAATGAAAGGCAGCCAGACTTCAAGCTTGAGAACAGAATATTCTATATGTATAAAAATATTTTACAATATCACCCTTCTATACAACACTGGTCATTCTCTACTTAAAGGAGAAGTATTAGGAAAATAAAATGTACTCTTCCCAATAAGAGCTGGTGTGTGACACTGCAGGTGTCACAAGATGGCTCTATAGATGGAGAGCTGGGAGATCATGAACTGCTAATCGCTCAGCTCATGGTCTTCTTCCTGCAGAGAGCGGTGACTGTCAGTCACGGCTTCCTGCAGGGATCCACCCCTTCCCATTCTGTCTCTGTTCCTCCAGTGCTTATTGGAGTGACAGACATGGGAGGGGGTGGGCACAGCTGGCTCACAGAGAGGAAGAGCCAGCTGTCAATCAGGCAGCAATGTGGATCCAGGCAATATTGTTGGGATCTTTCCCAGCTGCAATCTGGCTCTGCACTGTCAGCAAATAGTGGGCCGTAGCCCACTAGATGCTGACTTTGGATCACTGGAGTAAATTAGTAAATATACTCCTTTGACCCAAAAGAGGACTAAAGCAAAAAAAAAAAAAGGGTTGCCTTTAGTTCTCTTTTGATAATGAAAACTAAAATCACAATGACCTTGCCATAAAAGGTAAAATCACAAGGCCAATATTTCAAGTATGCATAAGACCACCCAGGGCACATATAGATAAAGATGCTCTATTGTGCAGGCTTTAATGATTTTGTCTCCAAATGTTATATAGTACACAGTTAGGTTGACAAAAAGACATAAGTCCATCAAGTAAAACCAATAAAAAAATGAACAAATTATTAAATTGAAAACCTGCATGTACAGAACCCAATATGGAGTGGACAAATTTATATGGAATTCAAGAGCCAGTCTGTCCAATCCAGGAGCCAGCAGGATATTTTTAGGAGTCAGCTCCACTGGTAGAAACTAGAGAAAACATCAGACAATAGGCACCAGCTGTAATTTTAAGGGGCATTGGTGACTTGGCTCCTAGGATTTGTTCAGCCCTGCTATACCCAGTGAATACAACAATGTTATTTGCTCATTGCTACACATTAGTTCTATTGAAGACCACATGTCCTCAGCTTATACAGTTGTACTATAGAGAGAGAATATTGTAATCATGGCCAGATTTACTGTTAGGCACCATAAGCTTGTGCATATAAAAAGCAGGTGTTAAGAAAAAGGTTGATTTTTCCTGTACTGCTATACACCACACATTTTCGAACCATCATCAGTAGAAATACAGTATTCATCATCTCATATATAAACTTTTTAGTTCAATGTACATGAAGTTACAAACACAGTGTATTTTTGGCAGAACCAACATGTATCATTCAGTAGTCAGAACCTGTAGTAGACCTGAAAAAGGAAAACTGTTGAAGCCACCAAATCTAAAGACAGTAAGCTGCAGTATATTAACGTTTTTAGACACATTTTAAAGTGACACTACACTTAGGAGTTAAATCTTAAAGTGGACCTTTACCCATATCTTTAAAATAAAAACAAACACACCTTTAGAAATGTTTAGTAATGACAATCTACAAACACATACTTCTAGATAATTGTCGGCGTTGTATTATTTGCATACCGTATTTCTCTTTTCTTTTCCAGTCTTCTGACAGTGTCCATGTTTACTTAGGGTAGATTACTAGCTGTCTTATTACTTCCTGGATTTCTGGCACATGTGACTAGGACATGTGACCATGCACATCATCTCAGGGGAGGAAAATGCCTTTCCTAGAAAACTCCTGAGATTACAGATGAGATTTCCCAGCAATGCTCTGCGGATAACAAGGGAATCCCAGTGTGCATTGTGTTGTCAAACTGAAGTCATTTGCACTTTCAAAGCAGGAAGTGAATGTTCTGCAAGTGTAAGTATTTCAAAATCACAGCATTTTAACCTGACATGTCTATGTTATTATTAATTATCATACTTATAGGCATGCATTGGTAGAATTTGATTTTTGAGTGTAAAGGTCTGTTTAAAAAGTGCTCTCAAGTATCCTAACTATTAACAACAAGGTAGCTTATTTGTGCATCGCTCAGCTGTAGATCCTCAAATCATCTCTGAATTCATGCTGACACTGTCCTTCCTTCTGGAGGTTGGCAACTTTGTTCCCCATGGTCCCCATGTTGTAAAGGAGCCACCGTTCCAAGTTCACTCCCGTGATGGACTACAATCTCTATACAAATTACAAATCTAAACATGAGATTGTAGTCCATCACAGGAGTGAGCTTGGAGCGGTGGCTACTTTACAATACACACAGGGACCATGGGGAAATAAAGTAGCCACCCTCCAGAAGGAAGGACAGTGTCAGCATGAATTCAGAGATGATTTGAGGATATACAGCTGAGTGATACAAATAAGATATTTTTTTGTTAATAGTTAAGGTACTTGAATGCATTTTTATGATTTAACGCCTGAGTTTAATGTCACTTTAAGCAGGTGGTAAATTGATCCACTGTTAAAAAACACATTTATTACAATGTTATAAATTGGACTTACAATGTTATAAAAAGAGCTAAGAGCAATATAATGCATATTCCATTTCTCCATTTATAAGCGTTAAAACATCTCTTAAGAAATCTATTGCTAACGTGTTTAATATTTTATATGACAAAGCTTGCAGTATTGTACTATACTGCACCAAGGCATTCTGGGGTTTTTAAAAGGTCCAGTTCCGATTTTCCATAACATTATAGCTGACTGATTAATTATGTATTTGAAAAATAATGTAACTGTGAAAGATCCAGTCTCTGCTACACTGATTTAATATTGGAATCAGCTATACTGGGACTAGCAGACCCATTTTAAAGACAGAAGGGTACTGCTATCCCTTCTTTTAGCTTTTAACACCTAATGTCGGACAGAATGTAATGTATTTCTTATTTTTTTAATCAATTAATTAAACTGGTGAATAGGGAGGGAATTTTGTTAATGAAAAAATTAACCCAAAGTGGGTAGCAACTTAGTATGAACTATATATGAGCCCCTTCTTAATTTATACACTTTCACATGCATTAGGCACTGATTATTTGGGGGAGGGTGCAGTATTTTTAGGAAACCCCTTTGGATGCACATGCCACATGTGGAAGGCCACATGGGCTATCAATATAGCAGATGCTCTTACAGTTACAACCCTCTGGTTCTGGTGTTACAAGCACAAATGTCTGGTGTGCTAGGCTAGTGTATGTGGGGCGGGGTATTTTGAAACTACCCGTTCAGGCATATTAGAAAAGAAAGTAAAAACCCAGAAGCACTAATAAGCAGAACAAATCATGGCAGCAGAACTAGCAAATTGCATATGAAGAGGATCTTTTCATTATCCACGTATTTCTAATAATGAATAAGGACACATTAGAATATTGCAGTATGTGCAATATTTACTCTAACCTATATGATATTTTGCAGTGTTGCGTTGCCTCCCTTTGCAAGTATTGCTAAGAATAATTTGCTTATAAATAACTCATAAATATCTGAGTACCAAAATTACAGCTTGGAAGATTATTTTTATGTATTGACAAAAGATAAACTAATTGTTTTACTTAACAACCAATTCCTTTCTGTCACTTACATTGTGTTTGTTTTACAGTGCAACACAGTTTTTAATTTAATTGTGGCTGCTGCTGCGATCCTCACTGAAATGCTGTTATTAGAATACTTCACTACGCTTGGAATGTTTGGATGATGGAAACTATATTGCTGAAAATGTATCTAGAGAAAAGCCCAAGCACCGTCTTTACTATATGAGTAATCTCCTTCTTTAAGGAATCCCAAAGCCCCAACCTCAGTGCAGCACAATAAACAACTATATAGATCTGAACCCACTATTGGGAAAGCAAAAATAAATTTCCCTGACAGCACATGCAGTTATATAAAAATGTCATACATGCTTGTCTGTTAAACAACAAAAAAACCCTCACAATTAAATTTTTTTTGTAGCTGCTATGTTTTATTGATTCAGCTGATAAAAGTTTTGAAGAAACTTGTTGAAGGATCTGCATTGGAAATAACAGTAGACTTGTAACCCCGCAAAAAAATTGTTTAGTTTTGGATCAATTCAGATTTTTATTTATTTTGTTTTTGGATTTCAGATCCGAAATATGATTTGGTTCATTATTTAGATTTTTGATTCGTCCGAATTCTCGTTCCGGAACACAAAAGTCACATAACCATGTATGCATGTAATGCATCCACCAACAACCAAAAACCCCATCTGATTGGCCAGAGAACAGTCATATGTCCGATTTAGTTTCATTTTGAATGACATTGATATGGATCAGAATTTTTGTTAAAGGCACATTCGGATTTGTTTGCACTCAGACACGTTCAATTTCAGAAATTCGGATGAATGTCTGAATGTAATGAAATTTGTACGAATATCCATTTGGAACTAAACAAAATTTACAAATTTTGAACATAAAACAAGACTTTGTCCCTGAATTTTATTTCCTGAATTAGCACAAATAGCCCCACTCAGAAAAAACAAAAGAAAAAAAACTCCTGATAACAACATTTTTTTTACTGGATTTACAAACGCCTGACACACATTAGTCCTCTGCTCCAGCCTCTAACTTTGTGACTTGTGACAAAGGTACAATATTGCAAACAGATCACTGGGAAGGGAAGACTGCTTTCTCCTCTCTGCAGCAGAGTGATGGTATATTGAAAGCCATCAAAGTCACCTGACTGGAGCTCAGTGACTGCTTTTTAATGATAAATTGTGACATGTCAGAAATTTATTAATGCAGATCAAGGGCCCATTCACACCATAGTATTGCGCTAAAGGTGCAATAGGTGCAATAGTGCGTCATATTGCCATTCCCCAAAGCACCTCCTGGTGGTAGGTAGTGTTGGGCTTGATGTTGGAGCTGAACGTGAGTTCGACTCAAACATCGGCTGTTTGTGTGTTCAGCGAACACACGAACTGTCAGGGTGTTCGCTGGCTGTTTGCCAGCTGTACTGCCCGCATCTGTCAAACTGCCCCACAGGAAAGAAAAAAGAACATGCTTTAAGTTTTCGTTTCAGTTTGACAATCAGCAAAGGAGCTGAGCTTAAGGAGAAAGTTCCCTCTCAGGTTCTCCTCAGCTGATTGACAGCAGACAGTGGAGGGGTGCAATAGCCACCCTGCTATAGCTAATAGCAGGCTAACTATTGCACCTTGTTGTAAAATGTTTAATGCCGGTCAGTACTATAGCAGCTGTAATCACTATAAACAGAAACCTGTATCACCGAAATCACTGTTCAATATTGTGCCACCCTAATACCAACATAGTGATTATCAAATGTATTTGCCACCTAATTCATGTGGTGATTTTCACCACCATTCCCAATCGCAATCAATGTGTCATGCAAAAACATTACAATATGAAAAGAAAAACCTCTAATTCATACAAAATTCGGTACAAATATTCACTGTAAACACTATAACATGCAACAATAATTTATGCCCCCAACAATCAACGATTTTTCTTCCATTATTGTATCACAATTTAATTATTATTGATTAATATTCATCTATAAATCAAACTATAAATATTATACACTGCAGGATATTACACAAAGTTAATCTGCTTATAAATCCTCAGTTCATAAAATGCCTGAGAGGTTGAGATTACAAAGTGACTAGTGCAGAACTAGATACAAAGTAACCAGTGACAGCCAACTAAAAACAAAAGTATCCAGCGCAATCAAATACAAAGTGTTCAGTACCTCTGAGTGTATCCTAAAGTCTCAAAAGGTGCAGAGAGGTCTAAATACAGGCAATCTGTTCACTCACAGCCCAGGCTGTATTAAACACTTCAATTAGCGGTATACAGTATACCAGCACTACTGAACTGCCGGTAATTTGCTGCTGGTATGGAAAAAAATGCAAAGTGACAATTGCAAAGCAAATAATTAGGTGGCAACACATTTGGTAATTGGTATGTTGATGTTAGTTAGGGTGGCACAATATTTAATCAGGCATCCCAGCCAGAAATTATTCATTTCTGGTAAGTGCCCTCTCCTCCCCAACATTTTTGGGGGGAGAGGGCACCTCCCTGAAATGATGGCAGGTGGCAGGGGAGCTAATGCTTCCCTTGCTATCTTCTTTTTTGTTTTTGTGTTCTGACAGCTCATGCCGTCAGAGTAAAAAAAAAAAACAGCATGAAAATGAATAGCTAGATTGCTATTGGCTATTTCAATTTGCAATACCCAATAGCAGGCTGGCTATTGCTCCCGCCCACTGCTGCTGTCAATCAGCAGAAGAGGACCTGAAGTTCTCCATCAGGTTGTTCTTGCCGGCTGTCAGAATAGAAGAAAACAAAAAGAATATTGTAAGGGGAAAGGACTGTAGGGAGAGATAGAGAGTACAAGCTGTGGGAGACGTAACCGCCCTGTGCCTGTAAGAGAATCCATGCTGTGTGGAAATCAATTAACTCCCACAGCATGTAGAAGAAAACTAAACACACTTTGCAAAATCTGCATACTGTAGTTCTCTTCTGTGTTCTGGGGGTTAATTAACTCTCCCACAGCACAGCATTAGAGTTGTATGTGTTCCCTGACGGATATGACCGATCTGTGGGGGCAATGATGAGTGATCACTGTCCTGTATTGATACATGTACACATTTGTAATCACTCTGCGGGATATAAAGGAAAGATTATCAAACTCCCAATATGATCATCTTTTCTTTATATCCCAAACAGTGATTACAGATGTATACATGTATCAATACAGGACTGGGATCATTTATAAACATACATGTGTGTGCCGACATTATACATACAGAGAATAAAGGAAGGGGGATATTTATGAACATATATGTGTGTGAAGACATTGTACATGTATCAATACAGAGAATAAAGGAAGGGGATCATTTATGTGTGTGCTGACATATAGCTGTAATTCATGGCAAGTAATCCGTATTACTGTGGGTCTGAGCTCTGTGACCAACCTTTTGTGCATTCAGATTTTGGATGAATGTATTTTGTTTAATACAAAAGAAATAGAAACAAATTTCATTAGTAACTAAATAAATTTAGTTTTAGAAGGAATCCATTCATCCAAAAATAAATTTTGCAGTGTGCACATGTCTAAATTAGTTACCCTTTAAAGTGATGTTAAAATGTATTTTTTATTTCATTGATTCCTGTCTCTCAGGGCACTACCCAGATCCCCATACACTTTTTATTGCCAATAAATTACATGTAAGGTTTGAAAATGGGGACTTTGGATTTTCAATGTTCTACCCCCATAGACTTGCATTGAGTTCGAGATCGAACTTTTCACATGTTCTAAAGTACGAATTCGAACCAAACCGGTGTTCGGCCCATCACTAGTTGTAGGCCCCATGAACACTTGTGTACACAATTAGGCCAATTTATACTATTGGCAAAGTAAGAACCTGATAAGAAGGGGCACTGCCTGGAAGAAGAAGAGACCAAACTTTTCACTAGAGGCAATGGTTATGATCAGCTGTTTCCTCATTTTGCCACACTCCCGTCTCTGTACACCACTCTGGCATGAGACAAACATTGTTCCAATATGCCTTTCAGGAACAAAAACTAACTTTAAAGCTAAGCATTAGGCAGATATAAAAGATACATATGAATGTAACTATGTAATCATTAATACATTTTTGAACATATTTTTTTAATGCAGACAGTGTAAGTTTCTGAATTTGACCTTGCATCAGCATCTTGCAGTCTGCGATACAGTCTGTACAGCAGAGCTCAAAGAGGGGAAAACAACACAAGGAGCCAATCAGTTGTTCTGCAGTGCAAAAGCATGCTGATAGAAGGAGAGAGAAGAGAGGAAGATAAATAAGCTTATCAGCATTCTGCTTCTCTTTTCCACTGCTCAGTAACAAGGCAAAAATGGGAAGGAGACCTGTAAGTGATAGTGGTCCCCTCTCTTGCTAGACTAAGCTGGGCTGTGGGGAAGAGTTGTGTAAATTTAGGGACTGGATTGAGATGTCGGTGCACAAAAACTTAAAGATGAACTGTGGCCTTACCTTCACTCTGGCCCAGTTGTACAGGCTCCTCTCCTGCACTGAAATTGCCTTCTCTGAAATTGCCTTTCTCTGCACACTGACTTCTCTCAATGTGGATCAGCAGCAAATTAGATAGAGCCCACCTCATTATCTGGCTAGAGCGCTTTCCTCTTCAACTTTATTGTCCTTAGCCCCCCCTTTCATTTGCTGGATTTCAGTTATTTTAGTAATGGAGTAATTAATAGTTAATTAGCAATGGGTTCAGTTTCATATGTGGGCACTACCTAGGGCAGTCTGCACACAAATGCAGCCTGCCTAGGAATGCCCACTCCTCCAGACTCATATCCATCCTACAAGTTATTTTGATATTTACAGAACTGCTCCCAAGAGCCAGCCCAATGCTTGTTTCAGAGCTGAGGGCTCTTGAGAGGAGAACTGAAGCAAGGTGCTGTGATGTTTTCAGAAAGCTATGACCCCTGCTTCTCGATTTACTGGCATTGCATAAAGAAACACAAAGCCCCAATGATAATGTCACTGGGCCTAAATTAAGGTATGCAATTAAAATAGAAAGTTTATTTTTATGTAATTAGCATGTTGCGGGGGGGGGGGGGGGGAGGAGTATATACTTTTGCTTTAACTGCACATGTTTTGTGCATTACTGTGTGTTATTGTTATCATATGTGTAAATATATTACATTACAATGCACATTTCATATTTCTTGCATTATTTTAGCAAACTATATTGTCCTTTAACACGTGTTAAATGCTGTATGCATGAAATACGGAATTTAAAAAGATTATCACACAAATTATCACTCCTTGAAATGTCACCAGCTTCTTTCTAGCAATAATTGTGTAATAGGTATCTATTATGTGTATAATGAGGAAAGCAGGTGAGGTTGAGATAAAATACTGATGTGTAAAAATAAAGGCTTTCAGTGGCTAAATGTTCATTTTAAAAATGGAAAACAAATATTCCACAGGTCTGTTATAATTAGGTTTGTAAACTAAACAATTTTAGATACAATTATTATGAGATAAAATAAAATAAAGAATGATGTTAAGATAAACCATGTACCTTAGTGAATTTAACCTTGCACACATTTTTTTTTCTTTTTGTAAACAATCATTTCCCTATTATTCTAGAATGGTGATGTATTATTATGCTTATTCAGCTGAATAAGCATAATATTCATGCAAGCCATCCAAAATACTTTTAGCAGACACTTTAAAAAATATATATTTTCAGAGTTCACTCTCTGGAACAGATACATAGGAGTAAACTTGATGTGGGTTCTATACAGGGCAGCTAATCCCACCTTTAATAGAATTTAGGCCTGTCTGTAGGACACTGCACACATGAAAAAGTGAAGCAGCTGAGAGAAATTCTTACACAAGCCAATGTGATGAATTTATATAAGAAACTGCTATCGAAAAGTAAGCTTCTTAAATGCCAAGGGGCACTTCAAACCTGAATTATTATTGCAGATTTGTTCATTTCTTTAATATTATTTCTATGTAAATGTGCTGTACAGCATTGGAGAGAGAACAGCGTGCATGCTCTGCTTTAGTGACATAACTATCATTTATCTATATCCACTCCAAACACTGCAATATGACAACGTTTTGTGATAGAAGCTTAAACTAATATGCAGAATCACCTCCGCAAGTACTGGGGAATATTAAAGATTTTATCAGGCCAGCAGCTTTTCATCACAGTTCTGAAGCACAGTACGAATGGGAGGCTAATCCCCATGGTGTATCATGGGATATTGTCATTGCCATACTCAACATCTGTCTCACTGAGCTGAGCTCACTGAGAGTAATTACTGCTAGAATAAAGTCAGTTTTTGGATCCGTGCAATTAATTCAACTTATAAAAAAAAGGAGTAGAGTGTGACACTTTAATTCTGTTTAAGTATATAACTTAAAGTGTTTGAGAGAGGGTTTAAAAAGTAATTGTTTTTTTTATATAGATTAATAATAAAGATTTTGTAATACAAAGTAAAAGAGCATGTACAATTAGTTATACCTATTGTATGAAACTGTCTACACTAAAAATGTTAAATATGTATATTTAGGAAGTTTGCATTCTCATGCCAGTCAAAGGCAGTGATTGACATTCTGCCATCCGTTACTAAGCCCCACCCCTGCAGAACTTATATTGTCTACTGTGCACACTAGGGGAAGCGGGTAGTGATTACAGGTTCTGTATCTCAGTAGTCTACCCTCTAGTGAATACAATATCATGCAGTTATTTTCACCTTTTGGTAGAAACATCCCTTTCCATAAGATTTACTAGGATAATCAATATGTAAAAGTGCACTAGCTGAAAGCTATGCTAATTCTAGAATGTTAATCAGTGCCAGTGTACAGTATTAATATAAATAGGAACCAGGTGTATTATGTCATATCAATACTGCAGATAATAAGAACAGCCATTATCAGCAGTATTGCCCCATTAGGATTCATCTTGATAGATAGTGCACGTATCAGCAACTTCTAATTGCTGAGAGGATTTTAATGCCCTTTTAAATGTTTTGAGGCATGTTTTCAGGCTGGTTAAAGCTATAAAATGTTGCATTATGTGAAGCATTAGAGTCACTTTGGAAACCTGATGAATTGTACTGCCAAAGTGACTCACTATTAGTATTTGAAACTATGCCAGGCATTTGATAACGGATATGCCCACTGCATTTTCTATTAGGCAGGTTTGGTGTAATTTCAATAGTAGGTATAGAACATCAGTGTAACAATAGATCAGAGACTATGGAACCTTTATGTACTTTATGTGTTAATTATAAGTACAGGACCGGCAACTGCAAAAAGTCTACAAGTGCTCAGAAAGTCCAACAGGCTTAAAGTTGACCTCCAGGCAAGCAGCTAAATGCACAGCTGAAATATGGTACATATGTAGGGACTGTTATATAGCTGCTTGAGGATATGTAGTTCAGTTGAGCCTTGTGATCCAGCAACCTCTACCAAATGGCATAACTAAATCTTTGGCCTGCACTTGTGAAAACTATTTAGCTGATTAAGCATTGGAGGAAAGGCACACTATTTAGTTATTTCCTTGCTGATTCTGCTCTCTCTTCCTGTCAGCAGGATCACAATCATGCTGTGCACTGTGAAGAAAACATTACACTTGATAAACAGCAGAGAAGTTGAGAAATGCAGAAAACTTGTGGTCGATGGACTCCAAAGCTACCACTCTCCACTGAATACCACACTGTGGACTCCACCGTGAGCCTACATTTTAGGGTTAATTTATAAAATACAGGCCATGATGTGAATAAAGCTATAAATAACATTCTGTTATAAGAGAAGAGGATGGCCAAGAATTCTTTTAGTTGAGCATGGCAGTGCTGGCCAGCCTTGGGTCAAATTTCAGCCAGTTTAGCAGGAGATATCCAAAGTTTCATCTGTGTATGGTCAGCTTTAAAATTAGATACTCAGAAGACCTCACTTCCCATAGCACACATGTCCACTATACAGTGCATGTCAGGTGCTGATGTAGTCTCAGCACCTGACATGTTCCAGCAGTACAACCAATAACACCCCACAGGCCAAAGGATGTTCCACATGTCATTTGTATGACATGTTGGTCTTGTTCCTTTTGTGTCACCTTTAAATTCTTTGATATATTCACCAGCTATACTATGACACACAATATATTTTACATGATCTGTATTTTTATCGCTGGTTTAAATTGTCACAGTCAGGTTTCCAAGAGGCCGACCTCATTACAATATTCCACTCTGTTTACTTCTGCTGATGACCCTACAAGCACAGCATTTTTGATTATTCTTCCAAAGCTCCGGCCCCTGGCATCTGTTTAATGAAAGTACAGAAGAACCAGGATACAAGAGAAATGCAAACAATAAAATATCCCTTTTTGTTCTAGAGGGACAAGCAAACATTTGTACATATCAATCTATTACAATGTATCCATTTCAATCTCTGGACACCTGTCAGATATTATCTCATCTTGATAAATTTGTGTGCTCTGACCTTATGATCTCGTCCTCGTCTATCTTGGCCTAAATGATCCTATTTAACCTGAAACTCATCTGCTTTTCTTCCCCGGAGTATTACTTTCTGTTTCTAGACAACAAAGACATGAGGGTAGCGAGAGGAAAAAGCTAAATAAATTCTACTCTGTGTTTGTTTTATGGCCAGCAAAGCAGTTTCTGAGGCAATGAGAGATAAGACAGAAAACATGATGCCTTCAGATAAAACAGCAGCGGCTGTTACAAAGAAGTATGAAATAAATAACACTGTAATGTGCGCATAATATGAGGAAAATAGACAGACAGCCTTTTTATCTGTACACTAAATGTATTACTCATAAAAAATTGCTTTTAGTAACCTTACATTGGGGCAGAACTAATATATACAATCTTGAGCAAAGGCAAGTGAAGCTGTTGCTTATAACAACCAAATGTTATCTTTATAATGCAGATGAAAAAATATTTTCATTTTCCCTAATATGAATATCCACTGTTCAGTGTATGCCAGGTGATCTTCCCAAAGCCCAAGGTCAGCAGTGGTGTCTTATCACAACACTACCAAAACTTTCCAAACTACCTATTTTTTAAGGAAGCTGAAGACATTACAATAACAATTCATGTAGTCGAAAAGGTGAAAGGGGTAAAGACACTGCTAAGAGTATTTGGAGAACACTGTCTCTGAAAGGGAATAAGAAACAAAGAAAATAGTTTTTGCATATGTGCCAGTTCACTAATTATTATTGTACAGGATTAAACACTAATTAGATAAAGTAACATTTCTTCAAAATCAGTATCCATATTACCATTACAATGCAATACAAAATTATTATGGCTGCAGCTGGGTTGAATAATTATATGCCAAATCTGGGCACAAACAGTATAGACAGCTCCACTTTGTGTGGCTTTTCTCAACTTTCTGCTACTGTATTGTAGGTTTAACGTGGACCCAAACTCAAGAAGTAAAGATCTGCAATCATAACCTGAACATGTACAGGGTTATTCACAAAAGAGTGAAGTTTGGAAAAGGCAGGAGAAGTGAAACATTTCTAGGCCAAAATAGCTGATTTGGAACAATTCTTCAATTCAGCTCACTTTCCAGTTGTGCTATGTTGTCCTAGATTGTTCACTTCCCCTGCCTTCTCCAAACTCTTCACCCTTTTGTGAATAACCCTGTTATAAATGACAATTGTGCCCGAGCAGTCCCCTAAGAAGTAAACTTTCTTAAATTCTCTCTAAAAGTAAAAGGTTCCCAAACACCAATATTTGCGCTGTGAATTAAAAAGTAAAAATAAATACTATAATGTTTTATCCTGGACCTCCCCACTGGGATTGTAACACATTCCAGTCAAAAGTGGGGAAGAATTAGAACCGTGTAAGTTTAATAATGCCATATGTGTCCCATTTGGGCAGCATTCCCCCACTTCCTGTGCCAGTGATGGTGGGTACTTCTGTTTAATGTGGAGGCATGCAGTCATTTTTTTCCCTTGAGGAGTCGAAGGGATTCAGGCAGCAATAAAACCCTGACCACAGTTCTAACACTTCTACACCTTAACTAAAACAAAAACAAAAAAGTATTATGAAGCAAGGTCTTTCTTTATATTTGGTTCTCTATGCATATCAAACACATAAAATGCTGCTTTCAAATGCTGCCCACTACTGTAATAATTTGCATGTACTACTATTGGAAAATAAAATATTTGGAACCACTATGAGAGGTATTATTATTATTTAAGTGCTTCAGGCAGACCTTATCCAGTACATACTCTATGTGCAGTCTTTACATACAGTATATTATTTAGGCATCTAGTTAGGAGGTAAGTATTATCTTTGGGCATGTCCGCATAACTGGTTCTGTATAAAGCCCACCTCCAGTCAAAATCTTTTTCATTTTTCTGTAGAGTGGCTATGAGTTTAAGCTTTTGTTGTTGGCAGGTTTTAGGATGATTGCTTTGCTCTGTCATGCCCTTCCCAGCCCTGCCTTTCCTTTGCCCAGGAACATCAAGAAAAGCAGTGGGGAACAAATTAGAAGGTGTGGATGTCAAAGGGACAGGAAGACACAGAGCAATAAAAACTTGACAAATGTTCTGACCCCTTCCTACTCTATTATATATGTCCGCTTTTGTCTCTTGTCCCATCAAGGAGATAGCCCATTACTTCCTACCCTGGTGACACCAAAATAACAAGGACAGAATGTGAGCCTAAACCTCCCAATAGGAAAACAAAGACATGAAATCTGTAACCCTTTCCCCCCTCTGTACGAATGAAAATAAAAATGTTTAGGCTGAAATTAAGCTTTAAATCTAAAGAAAAAAAAGTACATCCAAATATCTCTACAACACTTTTCTTTTTTAGATGTATCATCTGTTTTATGACTTCCCACATCTGTCTTGGCAATTTCCAAACAAACAAAAATAATTGTTATTATTTTTTTATTTTCGTCCTTATGGAGACGAATGAGAATAAAAGCACTTGCAATAGCTTAAAACAATAAAGGACACTTCTGTGTACTTACTGTGGAAGCCATACGTCTTACTGAGAGCTTGGTCAGAGCCTAAATGATGTTAGTTTTCAATGACCATTTTTCAGTGGTTCTTGTATAACTTACCAGCTCTTCTTGCAGTTGGTGGATAAGTTCATCCCGTTCCTTAAGCTGCAGCTTCAGCATTGAGCATTCATCTTTCATTATATCCTATGACAACATGAAATCAGATGTTATAATAGGACTAGCATTTTCTCTTTGTTCTTAACAAGGAAAAGCTGTTTCACACAGTAGGATATAATTGCATCCAAGTAATAAACCTCAATTTTCCTGTGTCATGTGTGATATTTTTTATAACATCTTCTGAAGTGCAGTGTAAACAACTTAATGTGTCTATGATGAAAAATATAAACGTCTTTCACTTCACAAGATGGCTTTGCCAGTGTTTGATTCCCATAAGCTTTGTGGCAGGAGCTCCTGCTGTATCTCATTTTTGGAACAGATGGTTATACAACTTAAAGTTAGAAGACGATATTGAAAGAAGATATATTTATTGTTGACGCATTGGAGAAGAATATTATATTTTCCTATTTAATTCTAGTAAGATTTTTTATCTTCTTTTTTTTGGTGAAGGGATAATTTAAATATAATCTGCTAAATTAAAATCTTTTTTAGGCATGGCAATTACATATGCAAGAGAGCTTTTCTATCCACCAGTCCACTAAGGGCCCATGTAGACCTTGGCATCCTGGTGTGCTGTGTAAATGCATGTGCATTAGGGCATGCTTTTTACATGTCAACCTGCATTGTGTTAAGGCAGCTAATTCAAATGAATGGGATGTCAATGTACCAAAGCATCCAAAAAATGGACATGCACCATTTTTAGCAACACATCACTTCACAATATGCAGTAGTGTGTAAGGGTGCAATTCACAATGAATGACACCACAACACACCAACATATAAATCAGTTTAGAGTGACACACCACACTGGAAAGAACACTGAACAGGCTCTGAGTGCTATCTGGATGTAAAAAACACACTATAATTTTAGAAAGCTATAACTTTTTTTAAATATTCTGCCTTTTAATTCCCTTTAATCAATTCATTACCAGAGGCCATCGATGCCTAATGTCAAAGCCAAATTTAGCAGTGTCAGAATGTGTTGGTCATCTTGACAATAGTTTTATGTCTAATTTGCACACCTGCTCTGTTTTTGTGTTATACGCTGACAAATTAGTAAAAATAAATTGTCTATTATTATTTCTTTTAATACTGTAATTATATCTGACAATTGCAAGTATTAGGACTATTGCGGCACAGAAGCCACTGCAACTTGAAGGTGGCATTGTTTGCAGCCTGGGGGCTTTTCTTTTTTCTCAATGAAACCTCCAGCCTGCATTTGATTATTATGTGATAGCTGACATAGTAATCACATGATCGAGAACCACTCTAATTGGTTACCGATATTCAGTGGGTGGGTACCCAACCTGCCAGTAACATTTATGATTGAGAGCCACCAGTTTTGCAAAGTATCAGCTGCTGGTTCTCAAACAGAGACTTTTACAAATGCATCCTCAGCATGGGGCATTGTGCTGGGAAATGTTTATATACAGATTGCAGGCGTGAAAGGGTTACTGGAACCCCTTTACCAGACAGTACTGGATATCCAATATACTCTATAACCATTAGTTAAGTGGGCATTAGGATTTATTCTCAGGTATCCACATAGCGGTTTAACACACAAATGCAAATGCCCACCTGGGAAACCATATACTCCAATGCCTGGCCTATTGTAGATGAAAACCTTAAAGTGACACTAAACACAGATGTTAAACCTAAAAAATCCATTCAAGTACCTTAACCATTAACAAAAGTGTAGCTTATATCACTCAGCTGTAAATCCTCAAATCATCTCTGAATTGGTGCTCACGCTGTCCTTCTTTCTGGAGGGTGGCTACTTTTTTTAATCCCCATGGTCCCTGTGTGTGCAAAGTAGCCACCGCTCCAAGCTCACTCCTGTGATAGACTACAATCTGAATACAAGGTAATGAACTATATATGAGATTGTAGTCCATCATGGGAGCGATCTTGGATTTGTGGCCACTGTACAACACACATGGGACCATGGTGAACAAAAGTAGCCACCCTTCAGAAGGAAGGAGAGTGTCAGAATCTACAGTTGTGTGTTACACAAATAAGATACATTTTTGTTAATGGTTAAAGGAGAACTATGGGGTTAAGGCTTTTCCCCATAGTTCTCCTTAGGGTAACGGGAGGACACAAACTAGCTGAAATCAGCCGTACATCGGCTTGCTTCGTGTGGCTTCGGATCAGCCGAACATGCTCAGCATGTTCGGCTGACCCGAAGTGCAGAAGGAGTTTGACTCAGCCGATCCAACATCTGGATCGGCTGAGCCGAACCTCCGGCAGGCTTCACACTGCTGTTCGGGCTATTCTGAAAGATCCCGAACAGCAGTGAGAGAATAGCCGAATGCCGCCGAGCGGCATTTGGCTCGGCTGTTCTGCTCGGTCCCTCAGAGGCACCGAGCAGAACAGAAAAAGAGTGAAAAAAGTAGAAAAAAGTAAATAGAAAACGATTGTGCAGAGCTAGCAGTGACAGCTAGCTCCGCCCAATAGTTTCCTATTGTCCGGCGGCTCTGCTGCTGTAAAAAAAAAAAAAGTTAAAAAAATTTAAAAACTCTCCCTGGCGCCCCGGGAGCCCCCCGCTCCCGGCCGCCAAGGAGAGAAACACAGCTGTGTCTTTTTTTCTTCATTCTGGCACAAGCAATGTCAGAATAGAGAAAAAAAAAATTCCCACCAGGAAGCATTGAGAGTTTACTATTGGCTATTTCAATTTGCAATAGCCAATAGTAAACTAGCATTGTTCCCGCCCTCTGCTGGTGGACCTGGTGGGGAACTGCAAAAGAGGGCGGGTACAATGCTAGTTTACTATTGGCTATTGCAATAGAAATAGCCAATAGTAATGTCCCAATGCTTTTGAATGGGACTTTTTTTTTTTTTCTCTATTCTGACATCGCTCCGTGTCAGAATAAAGAAATAAGACACAGCGGGGTTTTTCTCCTTGGCGGCCGGGAGCAGGAGACTCCCGGGGCGCCAGGGAGAGTCAGATGCTTGGAGATCAGTGTCCCTGGTTAGCAACCAGGGACGCTGATCTCTCTGAAAGTGGCCGGAGCCAGCCGTAAGATCACGGCTGGCTCCGCCCAGCTGTCAGAAGCAGGCTGTCGGCCGGCCAATGGCCGGCCGCTCGGCCAGCTTCGGCTTTCAGCACGGCTCAGCGCTCGACTGAGCCGCTCGGCCGTGATCGGGAGCTGTACGGGCTATTGTGAATAGCCCGTACAGCACCCCCTCGGTTCTCCTGAACCGAAGGGGTCCTGGTGCCGAAGCTAGCCGAAGGATCGGCCGAAGCTACGGCCAGATCCTTCAGCAGCTTTGTGAATAGACCCCATAGTCTCCATTGGAAGTCCATGTTACAAAGTAAAACTGCAGGAGTAAAACTTGGAAAAAAGGACAGATCATTGTCACCCTTGACAGGACGTGTCTGTACAAGGACCTTCATAATAAGATCACCAGGTGTTATTTTAATGAAATATACAGATTTAAATGATTGAAAGTTACTACTGAACATACTACTATAGGAGGGGTTTGTGATTGGGTTTACATGTAATTTAAAGAAGAACTTTGGCCATAATTATGCTTAACCCTTGGAATGGGGCTACCCCACACTGGAAGGGTTAAGTGCTCATTTTCATCTAGGGACGAAAATTAAAAAAAGATATACTCACCTGACCCTCGGAGCTGGCTAGATGCTACTCCGGTCCCTGACACCTGTCTCCTACTCCACTCCAGATGGTATGTCCCTCAGCATCCTCACATCCCATACACAGTGTATTAGGCATGATGACTCACAAGACCTTAGATCCCTGGAGCGGAGGGGGAGTGAGGTGGCAGGGATCAGTCTAACAGCCAGCAAGCTGTATGGTTCAGGTGAGTATAACTTTTTATTTTTGTCCCTAGACAAAACTAAGCACTTAAAAATGGTGCCTTGGACATATCACAATTCAAATGGGAGAACAATCTTACTTCAGGGCAACAATTAAACTTTTAATGCAATCTCTATTTAAAACAATACATTTCTTCCTCCAAACAAAATTTAAAATGCACTTTTGCCCAGACTATGGACATTTAAGTATTCAAATATATAAATATTATAAGCAGTAATAGAGCTTTATAACAAGCCCTCACTGACCTCTGTAGCTACAGGCACTTAGGAAAATTAAATAATTCATAATCAAAGATCACAGAAGAGACTCCAAGTTCAGTTAAATTATAACAGCTTACAAACATCTAGTGTTTGTTTATATGTTTAACTTTAAAGATAAATTTTACAAAAGTACAGACAGCTACATAGGTCAATAGTATTTTAATGTAATTTGATGGCTTATAATTTAATGTCCATAGTCTGGGCCAGGTGCTCTTTAAGCCAGACATTGAAGTATATGGATCCCTAAGGGACCTCTATAACTTGCTATATTGGTTCGTTAAAATAGGTGTCTGCAAAGGTTTTATTGTTACCAATGCACATACTATAATTTTCTGATTTAAAGATCATCGGGTGATCATACCATACCTTTGAGAAGCCTAAGTCAATGCCAATCATAGGCATAACCCTACTCTAATGTTAATATTAGATGTCAATATTACAAACTAATGACTGTCCATTAACTGTAACTATTTTTATAAAGTATTCCTGGTTTGTTCCTGTATAGTAATGACATAAGAAATTGTGTCAAACAGTTCAAGGTAATATTGTTTATAGTTATACCATTCTTAACAACAGTATACTGCTATGGAAGTATCATGTGAACAATTTACAAATTTGCAGATAAGTCTTTATCCTGTGTTTGGCCACTGAATTATGGACACAAAATTAATTTGATAATACATTGCATTATGCATTATCAATATAAAGCATAAGAATATGAACAAAAGATACAACAACATTTTATAATAAACATTATTTGCAATATCTGTATTTTACAACCAATGGTTGTAAATAGATACAACCAATGGAAACAGATAAATTCTATCTAAAATGGCAATAAAATACTGTATATTGTAACGTGGACATCAGAAAAAATGATGAGATCATGCAATGCATAAGTATGTAGATCAACACAGCTTTTACT